CCCATCCCTTTATATAAAGGGACTATACATGCTCTCTGCCAATCCCTAGGTACCTTCCCCTCTTTCATACATTTATTAAACAAAATTACCGACCACTCTAACACTACATCCCCCCTGCTTTTAACATTTCTGTCATGATCCCGTCAGTTCCAGCTGCTTTACCCCCTTTCATTCTACGTAATGCATCACGTACCTCCCTGCACTTACATTCTGCTCTTCTTCACTCCTAAAAAATGGTATACCTCCCTGGCCAGTGCATGAAATTACCGCCTAGCTTCTTCGTCGACATTTAAAAGCTCTTCAAAGTATTCTCGCCATCTACCCAATACCTCCATCTCCCCATCTACTAACTCTCCTACTCTGTTTTTAACTGACAAATCCATTTGTTCCTTAGGCTTTCTTAACTTGTTTAACTCACTTGAAAAATTTTTCTTATTTTCACTAAAATTTCTTGACAGTGCCTCTCCCACTCTATCATCTGCTTTCCTTTTGCACTCTCTCACCATTCTCTTTACTTTTCTTTTATTCTCCATATACTCTGCTCTTCTTATAACACTTCTGCTTTGTAAAAACCTCTCATAAGCTACCTTTTTCTATTTTATCACACCCTTTACTTCATCATTTCACCAATCACTCCTCTTTCCTCCTGCTCCCACCCTCCTATAACCACAAACTTCTGCCCCACATTCTAATACTGCATTTTTAAAACTATTCCAACCTTCTTCAACCCCCCCCCCTCTACTCATACTTACACCAGCTCACCTTTCTGCCAATAGTTACTTATATCTCACCCGAACTTCCTCCTCCCTTAGTGTGACCTAAGTGTAAGAAGAAGCAGCAAGACGTACCTGTAATCTTGCATATTTATGAGACAGACAAAAGACACCAGCAATCCTACCATCATGTAAAACAATTGCAGGCTTTCGTTTTACACTCACTTGGCAGGACGGTAGTACCTCCCTGGGAGGTTAAAAGATACAGTGGACCCCCGCATAACGATGGCATCACATAGCGATTATTTCGCATACCGCTTACTTTAATTGCAAAAATTTTGCCTCACATACCGCTTAAAAACCCGCTTACCGATTTTCTTCCGAGACGCGCTCACATGTTCCACCGGTGGCATTGTTTACCAGCCAGCCTCCGCGGTAACATCCAAGCATACAATCGGAATATTTCGTATTATTACAGTGTTTTCGGTGCTTTTTCTGGAAAATAAGTGACCATGGGCCCCAAGAAAGCTTCTAGTGCCAACCCTACAGCAATAAGGGTGAGAATTACAATAGAGATGAAGAAAAAGATCATTGATAAGTATGAAAGTGGAGTGCATGTCTCCGAGCTGGCCAGGTTGTATAATAAACCCCAATCAACCATCGCTACTATTGGTGGTACAGCTGCTGCTGCTGCTGCACTGTCAGCTGCTGCTGCTGCTGTAGCACCGTTGTTTGGTGTGGCTTATTGAGAATACCAAGAAACAATTAACCCCAGAGGATTTGCCACCCAGGATAACCCAAAAAAGTCAGTGTCATCGAAGACTGTCTAACTTATTTCCATTGGGGTCCTTAATCTTATCTCCCAGGATGCAACCCACACAAGTCGACTAACACCCAGGTGAACAGGGAAAAAATGCCTGGAACTAGTGCTCATATTGGTGAATTTAAAGCCAGCAAAGGTTGGTTTGAGAGATTTAAGAATCGTAGTGGCATACACAGTGTGATAAGGCCTGTTCTGGAAGAAAATGCCAAACAGGACCTACAGTACTCAGGAGGAAAAGGCACTCCCAGGACACAGTGTCCTCATCAGTCATTGCTGCATCTTCAATAAAGGTAAGTGTCATTTATTCTTCATTTAGTAGACTAGTACATGCACAATATATACTGTGCATGTACTACTCTACTATTGTGCATGTATCCTTCTCTTTGTGTGTGGGAAAATGTATATTTCATGTGGTAAAATTTTTTTTTTCATACTTTTGGGTGTCTTGCACGGATTAATTTTATTTCCATTATTTCTTATGGGGAAAATTCATTCACATAACGATTATTTCGCATAACAATTACCCCTCTTGCATGGATTAAAATCGTTAACCGGGGGTCCACTGTACTTTTCTTTCCCTATTTAGCAATAAAATCCCTTAAACAATATGTCTCCTGGAGACGGGATAATTTATAATTCAGCAAATACTTTTACAATAACTAATAAAAAAAGTAAATAATCTACGTTAATTAGTGGTTACCAATAAACAATAAACCCATTCATTATAACATAAAATATTAGATTATAAGTTTCATATTTCCATCAAAGAGTTACATACCTCTAAAGGACAGACAGGAGTCTTGATATCAACTTCATGTCATTTTACAATTCATAAATTCCTAACGTTTATATTACTGCCCAGATCTGACTGAATAGTTTTCTTTTGAGGCTGTTATTCAATGTTAGTCCATGTACAACTCAAAGTATAATTCCCCTTGATATCTGACTTTCACTCTTTTTCTTTCTAAACCAGAAGTGAAGAGTTAATTTCCCAATGAAGGGGAATATTTTTAAACAGATATGAACTAAGGCAAATAATCTCCTTGCAATAAGAAGTCATTTGACTTTAGTCAAACAACCACCTCAAAAAGTTATTAGTATTCATATCAATAACAACAAACTGATTTTAATATATTATATGTAGTATAACATTTTTGAAAGTATGGGTCTGGCCATTGGAAATTAATGAATTGTAGCATATATGCTTTGAACCATGCTGAAAATTTAATGTTACTGAGATGATTAAATATGGCAGCCAAAGGCAGCATGGTTCAGCTACTATAGTTTCTTTACACATGAGTTATAAGACCAAAGGCTAAGACCCTCACTATGACAGTATTTAAATGTTTGGCATAAAAAGTGCACATAACAATATACAGCAGGGCCCCACTTATACGGCAGGTTAGGTTCCAGGCTACCGCCGTAAAGTGGAAACCGCCGTAAAGTGGAACACCCTTTTTTTCCACTTATAAATGCATACAAACACTAGATAACAAGTTTACACTAACATATATTAAGTTAGCAATAGAACCAGGCATCAAAAAACAATAAAAAAGTACAATACACACACAGTGCACTCATTACTTACCTTAAAATATTTATAGTCTTAATCTAGGGTGAGACAAGTAGTATTTATTGTAAGAAATCAAGTGTGGTATGTATGGTAGTCAGCCGGGCTACCATACCAGGCCAACCCACCCACACATATATTCTATGATATTTAAGCATCCCAGAGCGATAAAATGTATATACAGTTCACTCATTACTTACCTTAAAATATTTGTAGTCTTAATGTAGGGTCAGGAGTAAGTAAATGAGATAAAACGAATAAATGAGAGAGAGAAAGAATGAGTACATGAGAGGGGACAGGCGCAGAGTTATGTAAACAAACCAGGCGAACGTAAGTTTTGTAAACAAACGAAGTGTACACGTCTGGTTTGTGTACAAGTTACATTGTGTACAGGTTGTCTCTACATTGATACGGTAGAATTAATAAAGAAGAACACTCCCATTCTCATGTAACATTTTGAGAAGAAATGAAGCTCTGAGTGAAGGCAATGGAAGTAAGTCACACTGACTTTTTTGGGTTATCCTAGGTTCTCTACACATATGTTGTTATGTATGATAATCTATGTAACTGTATTTGTGTATACCTGAATAAACTTACCTACATACATACGAAAGGAATAATTTTCTACAGTTACCCCCAGTAACACATTTTCTCTTATGTTAGATTAGAGAAAATGTTATTCTTGCCGTCACTTGTACAAGTTATCTAGCTCCCACATCTTATATTTATGTTTATTTATTCTATTGTGGGGTGTATTTATCATCTTTTTATGTTATGTATTGTGTTTATTATATAATTTTGAAAAAAATATCATGGATGGATTAATGAAAATGTGTATATTAACGTAATATACGACATTTAATGAGACTCGGTGAGTATTGTTATTATTATTATTATTTCTAATATGGCGTCACTTGTGCAAGTCGTCTGCTACCACATCTCACATTTATGTTTATTTATTCTACTGTGGGGTGTATTTATCTTATTTATATGTTATGCATCGTGTTTATTATATAATTTTGAAAAAAATATCATAGATGGATTAATGAAAATGTGCATATTAACGTAATATATGACATTTAAATGACTTGATGATTATTATTATCATTACTAATATGACGTCTGGAGACATAAGACACTTACCGATTTTAATGTGTACCTGCATGCCAGCACAGTATGTAAGTTTATTTAGGTACAGGTATACATAAGTATAATTATCAGAGTATATATAAAATATGAAATAACTTTTAAAAACATTTGAAATTTTGGAGTTTCCAGACAAAATGGAGAGACTTAGTGCTTACTGAGCTCACGGAGAATGTAAACAAACAGGGTGGGGCATGGTGACCGTATTAGAAAGTCAGGTGGGGGGAGCCGTATAGCGAGTTTTGGTCATAATTTGAAATGACCGTATTAACGGAACGCCGTAAAGTGAAACGCCGTAAAGCGGGGCCCTCCTGTATATATATTACTTGTATGATGCGTGACTGCTGCATCCAGAAAATGCACAAAAATAAATCTAAAATCTCATGTGATAGGTATAAGCAAAGATATCAAAAACCATGTCCAGATATCAGGGACTTATACCGCAACAAATGCACAATTTTAACTTAACCTGAAATTCCCTTAAAATTTCTATAACATGGCTATTCTTGTAAGATTTTACCATCACTCCATAATTCAAGAGAAACTGTTTGAACTCCTCAATTAGTGCTCTCCTCATCATTTACAGAAATGCAACAGTCCTTCACCTGTCATTTTCATCCTGTAATGTATCTATTTCACCAATCTTGTTTTAGTAACAATTTAAATGATAGAAACATATACCCCAAATACTGATATAGGATCTATAAAAATAAAATTTATTTTTCTAATAGATCTGTAGGAGTTTTACCTCAGAAAACTCATATTCTGCTTTCTCGACGAGCTCCTTCTCAGACCATACCAGAGAGCGTGGTCCAATCTTCCTACTCTCTAGCGCTCCCACTGCTATTGCTATTAAGTATGAAGGCATTGGCACTGGCTGTCGAAACCTGGAAAATATTTTACAATATAACATACATAGATTTTAAATTTTTGCAGATGTAGAATGTATTTTCTAATACATATATTTAATATAAAACCACTCATTTCTGAAAACTGGCAGTGCTTGACTTGGTTAAGTCATGTGTACAATTATTTTTTTATGAACAGAAGTGAACAAAAAAAAAATCAATAAAATTTGAGAAATAGCCATGAAATTTTTTTAAATTGCTTACTTTATTTGATATGGATTATATTTAAACTAACCCAGACTTCCTCCTGATCATAACTGATACCCCAATGTAGGTCAACTGGTCTCAGTTTAACATGACACCTATACTGCAGTATGTTTTACTCAAACTACTCACACAGAATTATCACCGGGTAGACTGATGTAATCATAATGAAGCCATTGTTACAGTACTTTATCATTCCTTCAACTTACTCAACCCACATGCACTTCAAAGCAACAATAGGGAGCAATTGTCAGGGCAAATACAAAGGCCTGGATCCAGAACACTGTATTTCAGGACTGGTTTGATAAAATGTTCCTCTCTCTAGAAGAAAAATATCAAAATGCCAAGAAATTGCCCTTCAAAGCCTTCCACCTCCTAAACAAAGCATCTCCCAAGTCACATAACCTTGGCCAAGATCAATCCAACATCAGAATTTATGCCTCCAAACATTATGTGTATAAAGTGCAGCCCTCAGACCATAGTTGTATTGAGGGCACCACTCTAAATCACAAGTCAGCTGATGAACATTCTGGATATGACTAACATTGCTCCAAAACTCAATGTGCAAAGTTGGAAAAAAATGTCAAGGTAAAAAAAATACAATACATTTATAAAATTTACATTTTGAAAATACAGGCAGTACTGGATCCAAATTTGAACAATGAAACAATGAGAAGCATGACAGGGAGAAACATGCATGCAAGAACATTGCAATAACTCAATAAACATAAAAGGTCAAAGACTTCTCAACACCTCTTCGTATACATCACTTAGAGAGGTTGGCGAGTAAGACAATGACTACAGAGGAGTCTTTATTGCACAATAAAGCTCATTAATAAGTCTCCTCTTTTGCTTTTTTGTGAAAATTCAAAGGAAGCAACTTAATTCTGAAGGGCTCTTGACCCCAGGATTTTCAGCTACACACCTTTCTTGGATTAACTTCCTTGGAATGGCTCTTGGAACTATCCTTCCCTTCCTAGTACCAAACCTGATCACCAGGTGCTGTATGGATTTAGTTCTTCCCCCTTTAATACAATAATAATAATAATGCATGATCCCTCTGGATTTAGTACTTTTTTTTTTTTTCAACAAGTCGGCCGTCTCCCACCGAGGCAGGGTGACCCAAAAAAGAAAGAAAATCCCCAAAAAGAAAATACTTTCATCATCATTCAACACTTTCACCACACTCACACATTATCACTGTTTTTGCAGAGGTGCTCAGAATACAACAGTTTAGAAGCATATACGTATAAAGATACACAACATATCCCTCCAAACTGCCAATATCCCAAACCCCTCCTTTAAAGTGCAGGCATTGTACTTCCCATTTCCAGGACTCAAGTCCGACTATATGAAAATAACCGGTTTCCCTGAATCCCTTCACTAAATATTACCCTGCTCACACTCCAACAGATCGTCAGGTCCCAAGTATCATTCGTCTCCATTCACTCCTATCTAACATGCTCACGCACGCCTGCTGGAAGTCCAAGCCCCTTGCCCACAAAACCTCCTTTACCCCCTCTCTCCAACCCTTTCGAGGACGACCCCTACCCCTCCTTCCTTCCCCTATAGATTTATATGCTTTCCATGTCATTCTACTTTGATCCATTCTCTCTAAATGACCAAACCACCTCAACAACCCCTCTTCTGCCCTCTGACTAATACTTTTATTAACTCCACACCTTCTCCTAATTTCCACACTCCGAGTTTTCTGCATAATATTTACACCACACATTGCCCTTAGACAGGACATCTCCACTGCCTCCAACCATCTCCTCGCTGCTGCATTTACCATCCAAGCTTCACATCCATATAAGAGTGTTGGTACTACTATACTTTCATACATTCCCTTCTTTGCCTCCATAGATAATGTTTTTTGACTCCACATATACCTCAATGCACCACTCACCTTTTTTCCCTCATCAATTCTATGATTAACCTCATCCTTCATAAATCCATCCGCCGACACTTCAACTCCCAAGTATCTGAAAACATTCACTTCTTCCATACTCCTCCTCCCCAATTTGATATCCAATTCTTCTTTATCTAAATCATTTGATACCCTCATCACCTTACTCTTTTCTATGTTCACTTTCAACTTTCTACCTTTACACACATTCCCAAACTCATCCACTAACCTTTGCAATTTTTCTTTAGAATCTCCCATAAGCACAGTATCATCAGCAAAAAGTAACTGTCAATTCCCATTTTGAATTTGATTCCCCATAATTTAATCCCACCCCTCTCCCGAATGCCCTAGCATTTACTTCTTTTACAACCCCATCTATAAATATATTAAACAACCATGGTGACATTACACGTCCCTGTCTAAGACCAACTTTTACCGGGAAGTATTCTCCCTCTCTTCTACACACCCTAACCTGAGCCTCACTATCCTCATAAAAACTCTTAACAGCATTTAATAACTTACCACCTATTCCATATACTTGCAACATCTGCCACATTGCTCCTCTATTGACACGTGGCAGATGCCTTTTCTAAATCCATAAATGCAATAAAAACTTCCCTACCTTTATCTAAATACTGTTCACATATATGCTTCAATGTAAACACTTGATCTACACATCCCCTACCCACTCTGAAGCCTCCCTGCTCATCCGCAATCCTACATTCTGTCTTACCTCTAATTCTTTCAATTATAACCCTACCGTATACTTTTCCTGGTATACTCAGTAAACTTATTCCTCTATAATTTTTACAATCTCTTTTGTCCCCTTTCTCTTTATATAAAGGGACTATACATGCTCTCCGCCAATCCCTAGGTACCTTCTCGTCTTTCATACATTTATTAAACAAAAGTACCAACCACTCCAACACTATATCCCCCCCTGCTTTTAACATTTCTGTCATGATCCCATCAGTTCCAGCTGGTTTACCCCCTTTCATTCTATGTAATGCCTCACGTACCTCCCCCACACTTACATTCTGCTCTTCTTCACTCCTAAAAGATGGTTAAAACCTCCCTGGCCAGTGCATGAAATTACCGCCTCCCTCTCTTCCTCAACATTTAAAAGTTCCTCAAAATATTCTTGCCATCTACCTAATACCTCCCTCTCCCCATCTACTAACTCCCCTACTCTGTTTTTAACTGACAAATCCATACTTTCCCTAGGCTTTCTTAACTTGTTTAACTCACTCCTAAATTTTTTCTTATTTTCATTAAAATTTCTTGACAGTGCCTCTCCCCCCTCTTTCATCTGCTCTCCTTTTGCACTCTCTCACCACTCTCTTCACCTTTCTTTTACTCTCCATATACTCTGCTTCTTATAACACTTCTGCTTTGTAAAAACCTCTCGTAAGCTACCTTTTTCTCTTTTATCACACCCTTTACTTCATCATTCCACCTATCACTCCTCTTTCCTCCTGCCCCCACCCTCCTATAACCACAAACTTCTGCCCCACATTCTAATACTGCATTTTTTAAAACTATTCCAACCCTCTTCAACCCCCCACTAAATCATCTTTGCATTAGCCCACCTTTCTGCCAATAGTCGCTTATATCTCGCCCGAACTTCCCCCTCCCTTAGTTTATACACTTTCACCTCCCTCTTACTTGTTGTTGCCACCTTCCTCTTTTCCCATCTACCTCTTACTCTAACTGTAGCTACAACTAAATAATGATCCGATATATCAGTTGCTCCTCTATAAACATGTACATCCTGGAGCCTACCCATCAACCTTTTATCCACCAATACATAATCTAACAAACTACTTTCAATACGTGCTACATCATACCTTGTATATTTATTTATCCTCTTTTCATAAAATATGTATTACTTATTACCAAATTTCTTTCTACACATAGCTCAATTAAAGGTTCCCCATTTACATTTACCCCTGGCACCCCAAATTTACCTACTACTCCTCTATAACATTTTTACCCACTTTAGCATTGAAATCCCCAACCACCATTACTCTCACACTTGATTCAAAACTCCCCACGCATTCACTCAACATTTCCCCGAATCTCTCTCTCTCCTCTACACTTCTCTCTTCTCCAGGTGCATACATGCTAACTATAACCCACTTTTCACATCCAATCTTTATTTTACTTCACATAATCCTTGAATTTATACATTTGTATCCCTCTTTTCCTGCCATAGCTTATCCTTCAACATTATTTGCTACTCCTTCTTTAGCTCTAACTCTATTTTGAAACCCCTGACCTAATCCCATTTATTCCTCTCCATTGAAACTCTCCCACCCCGTTCAGCTTTGTTTCACTTAAAGCCAGGACATCCAGTTTCTTCTCATTCATAACATCCACAATCATCTCTTTCTTATCATTTGCACAACATCCACGCACATTCAGACTTCCCACTTTGACAATTTTCTTCTTGTTATTCTTTTTAGTAATCTTTACAGGAAAAGGGGTTACTAGCCCATTGTTCCCGGCATTTTAGTTGACTTTTACAACACGCATGGCTTACGGAGGAAAGATTCTTATTCCACTTCCCCATGGATATAAAAGGAAAAGTAATAAGACCAAGAACTATTAAGATAAAATCAAAAACTCAGATGAGTGTGCATAAATAAACGTGTGCATGTATGTGTAGTGTGACCTAAGTGTAAGTACTTCTCCATTAATATAAAAATAATCATGTAGAAGGGGAATTACAATAGAGCCTTAACTGTCTCCAGGAGGAAACTTGAATTTTTTTTTCAAAATCTTTCCTGATTGACAGGTCTATGGTGTCTATCTTGGATCATGTGCTGCAAACAGCAACAACCTGACTGATCAGACAAACAGGAGGGCTAATTTCCCATTGTAACTACAGATCCCAACAATCACCATTAAGTAGACAACAAGTAGTTACAGTACATTTTCAGAGATTCGAGTCAACAAAATTTTAGGATTAAGCAACTTTTATGCAATACTAAACACATAGGCAACTAAAGCAGTGTTCACTAACCTGAAAACCTTACGATTTCCTTTCTCCTGCTGACCCTCTCTCAGTGCACTCATGAGCACCACCAGCTCAGAAGGGGCACTAACCTCTGCAGTGTAAGGCATTTTTACTGTTGGTGTATCCTGTTGATGGAATATTTGAATAAGTAATTGAAATACAAAATAGTACTATCTATGCAAAAATATGAATACAGTTCAATATTATTTACCTTAAACTGATAAATTTTTATTGAACAATTATTTACACAAACACCAAGATAACTAGATTTCCTTTTACATATTAGAGAAATTATGGGAGGCATTCTGGTAGGGTTCATGATAGAGTATAAGTTTTTAATGATTAATATTTAATACCAAATGCACTCATCCTGTCTCACTTCTCAATAATTTCCAAGTGGTAATAATAACTCCAGTTTTGCTGGAACAAAACCTTTGAAACTATCATAGCTATTAAATCCAGGGTGGAATGCTTGAAGACATCACTGCCATATGTAAACAAAGTTGAAATAAAAACAATCACTACAAATTCAGAATAAATATTTTTTTACAGAGGGGGGAATACCTGTCAACTTATGACAGACGAGATATAAGAAATTGATATTTGGGACTGATAGTACATAAGCAGGTTCTTTAGAATTATGAGAATCCTGAAAGAAAAGGATTAATGCATACTCTAAAATGTTTGCACTGACTGAAATAAAATATTACTGTATAGTATCTACACAAACCCAATAGCACTATATAAAAAACATAGAAAATTTCAGTAAAATCGGTATCTTTGTAAGCAATATCATAATTTCAGATGTGCCACTTAACTGTCATTAGAGATATATGCTGCTATGTATGATAATCTGTGTAACTGTATTTGTGTATACCTGAATAAACTTACTTATATCAGGAAGAAAATGTATACAGTATATTGCATAACATCACACTACTGATTTTTTAAGCAGAGGTATGATAAAGCTCACAGTTCAGGGAGAGTGACCTAGTAGCGACCAGTGAAGAGGCGGAGTCAGGAGCTTGGACTCGACCTCTGCAACCTCAACTAGGCAAGTACAACTAGGTGAGTACACACTAAGTCTGAAGCAAGTCCTAACTCTGCACTCTGCCCCATATCCCACTTTCTTTCCCCCTCTCAATCTGTTTTTATTCTACTAATTGACATAGGCTGGTCTTATTGGTTTACAACTGCTTGGAGACAATTTTTTCAATAAGCAGCCAATTAACTTATCACTTTTAAGACATGAAGTAACAAAACAAATAAACTGATTTATTATAGTTTATACTCAACAAACCAACAATGATGATCAATGGATTAAGATGCAGTATTATCTCACTGTTGCTTATTAAGGTACTGTACTCGGAAAAATATGCAATCTTAGAAAAACAATAAAATCTAGTACTGTTACCTGACAAGGAACCAAGGAGCGACAGTGGATGGCCTGACACTGGGAGAACACATATGGATGTTGTTTCCCAGCTGTTTGCTCTGGGGCCAGCCATTGTAGGGCAGAGCTACTTGCTGAAGTTTCATACTCTATTTGAACCTTCAACCTGCAATACATACCATATATGAATTATAAGAATATCAAACTATTAGCACTAAAGATTTTTTTTTTTTTACCCATATTAATGCTAACAAGATTAGAGAGAAGATACTGATGTGAAATGCTAGTAGATGTAAGGTTATGTTTCTGGAGGTAATGAACTCTCTTAACATTACATTTTTCAATAAAAAATTTTATCTATATAACATTACAGTTATTGCAGCCTTCAATAACTGGATTCACTCATAACAGATGGGCCATTATGGTTGTTTCATTAACAAGGTAGTGCTTCCCAGAGTTAAAAAGTCTTTCAGAGTAAAATATAACCATATTTCTAGTTATTTCAACATTCTAATCTACCCAAACCTATTCAATTTGCCTTGGGAATATGTACATGGCAATACTGCATACACACAAAAGGAGCATGTACCCCATCCCCTGAGCATGTTAGATAGGAGTGAATGGAGACAAATGGTTTTTGGGACCTGATGAACTGTTGGAGTGTGAGCAGGTTAATATTTTGTGAAGGGATTCAGGGAAACCGGTTAGCCGGACTTGAGTCAGGGAAATGGGAAGTACTATTTGGGAAATATTATTTTGATTTTCGGCCATTTTGGTTTCAGACCGACCTTCTGGAACAGATTATGGCTTATAACTGAGAGTCCACTGTACAACATCTGCACTTTAAAGGAGGGGTTTGGGATATTGGCTGTTCGGAGGGACATCTAAGTTGTTGTACCTGAGCACCTCTGCAAAGACAGTGATTATGTATGAGTGATGGTGAAAGTGTTGAAAGTTTTATCTTTCTTTTTGGGTCACCCTGCCTCAGTGGGAAACAGCTGATATGCTAAAAAAAAATCCACTTTCTTGAAATATATGTGCTTACTGTGAGAAATATGTGCTATTTAAACATTTTACAGTGGTAGGAAGAGGAAACAATTTAATATTTATGACAAGCACACTTATGTAAGTCTTTGATAACATGGTATAGGCATTCCATCTATTCTTTAAGCATGAAGGCATTCAAAATTAATGAGGAATTAATTATATGCATCACTGCCAAGGTAAAGCCTCACTTTGTAACATTATATTAAAAATATGTCCAACACTGTATAAACTTGTGTATCAAGCTTTTTTATCAAGTGATAAAACTACTTATCAATTATCTTCTAGGAAATGTGTGGTGTTCTTTTTATCTCCTGATTTTTTTTTATGAAAGATTAATAAATAGGTAATGCTATAACATACTGACAGGATGAGAAATACACGTGCATAATAGACATTAACCCTTTGAGGGTTTTGGTCGTACTAGTACGTTTTACGAGTAGGGGTTTTTGACGTACTAGTACTCATAAATTCTAGCGGCCTCAAATCTAGTGGGAGAAAGCTGGTAGGCTTCATATGAAAGAATGGGTCTATGTGGTCAGTGTGCACAGTCTAAAAAAAATCCTGCAGCACACAGTGCATAATGAGAAAAAAAAAACTTTGACCATTTTTTTTTAATAAATCAGCGACTTTGCAGTGTATTTTCGTATGGTATTTATTGTTGTATTCTAGTTTTCTTGGTCTCATTTTATAGAATGGAAGACATATTACAGAAATTGAGATGTTTTTTGACTGGTTTTACAATGAAAGGTGCCTTGAAATTGAGCTCAAAGTAGCAGAAATGTTCGATTTTTACCAAACTTCAAAAGTAAACAAATCGTGCCAAGCGTGCAATACACATCAACTGGTGAGTCTAATATTCTTTTACAAGTGCACCAATAATATTTTATACCATTTTTTACACTAATGCAGTAGTCTGCATAACAGTAAATCTTATATTTTTTGTGAGAATAAAAATTCAAAGTGGAAAGCAAAAGAATATAAGAGGGGCCTTGAGAGACGTGACTAATGACTAGAGGAAATGTCATTTTAGTGCCAGGAATGTCTTTCTTGTTTATTCTGGCCCCTATTCGGAAATTGGCATCTTTGAAATTTGTGTGAAATTGGCAAAATTGCTAAATTCTGACCACTGTACTGGATAGTTGAATTTCTAAATGGGTGGTTTCTTGCACCCATTCGATAGAAAAAATGGAGTTCTAGCGAAATATGCATGTTTTTTGTCGACTAGTACAGTGAAATTGGCCGAAAATGGGGCTCAAAGTGGGCAAAATCGCCGATGCGTAAACATCGCCGAGACCGCTAACTTTGCGAGAGCATAATTCCGTAAGTTTTCTATCAAATTTCAAACTTTTGGTGTCTTTATGATCGGGAAAAGATTCTCTATCTTTTCATAAGAGAAAATAATTTTTTTTTTTTTAAATTTGGCCGACCCTGAGAACGAGTTTCGGAGAGGGCCTGTCGACCCTCAAAGGGTTAAGTGATACAGCCTGAATGAGGAAAATGTTTTCAATAATGCTGTCATGTAACTACAATTGTATCTATTTCTCATGAAACACTAATACATGTACTGATACGATCCTCCACACCATGGATCAGGATTTTTATTTTTGTCCAAATGTGTAAAATTCAAGACATGATTTTTTAGCAATTTTTGGCTTTGTGCGGGGTTACTCGCTTATGGCTGAAATTTTTTGTTACTAATTAAAATACTGTACAGCCTCTCCTCACTTAGCGACGTACTCATTTATCAATGCCTTGGACTTATGACGGGCTCTCTGACCACCATACCATAAATGTTATAAATGGTGCAAAGGTGACATTAAAACAACATCAAAGAGGCTCAGCACAAACTCATTACCATTACAGTATGCTCCTCACTTAGTGATGAATTCATTTAACGATGTGGTCTTAGAAATGGAACTCCATCATCAAGTGAGGAGAGGCTGTGTATGAAATTATATTTTACTATGTAGAGTAAAAGTATGGCTGAAGCTCCAAAATCAAGGCAGCTGCATTCCTAGAGGTTTTATGAGCACAAAATTTGCAAATACTACAGTGATACAAAATTCTGGCTGCATTTTAAGCTTCGGGCTAATTTTGTGTTTCAGAATCCACATCATTTTAAATATTCTAAATTGAATTCAAATGCATTTTCAGGAAAATCTCATGGCTGGTTTGGCGCCTACATTTGCTTTCTAAACGTCACTAATTTGGTTAATATGGACATCTGCAGAAAGAATGTTTGCAAGAAAAACAAATTTGGGTGTGGGAAATTCAATGAACACATTCTGAATGAAATCCAGGCCAATAATCAACGGTATTAACAAGATGCCTTTCAGTCAAAGCATTGCATAATCAAATTCACAAATTATGAAGCTTGCAAATATGGGGTTCAGCTGTAGTATGTGTGGAGATGGGTAAAATAAAAGATTTCCTGGTAATCTCTTCCCTGATGATAGGAATAAAAATAAAAAAGTGAATGGTTTCCAGAGGGGGCACAGGGTAGCAATCTTTCAGCTTCCTCACTTATCAAGAAACTCAGAAAATGGAAAAATCAGAAATGCTTTTAAATAGCAGAAGTTATGAACAGCTCATGTTTTACTGTACATGCTATATTAATTGTGTATAAAACAGAAGCACAAAGAAAATTTTCTTATATGAGCTGATACTTACTGTTTCTTTGCATCTGAAGAAAGAGCAATTTTCAGCTCAGATCCAAAATTGGGATGGGGTTCTCCAAGAGTATACTGCAAAACCTGCCCGGTTTCCTCATCCTTCACGCTCTTAATTGTTAAGTCCCGAGTATCAAGAATCTAAAACATAACACTAATAGTTACATTTTTCTTTTTATGATTTTTTGAGCTAAGGTAAAATAAATTTATTTGCAGTTGCAAAAGAAAATTGATAACAAGAGCTCAATGAAAGTTTTTGTAAATATTACATATTTTAATTAAATAGAAGAACGATACTCACCAAATGCACAGCATCATCCTGTTTACGATCAACAGTGAGCGTGGCTGTGCCTGAGATAATCTTGCTTGGAAAATCTACATCCCAATTTAGGTGAATTGAAGACACCACAACCTGATCTGGTAATGCAAATAGTCTTATTATTATTATTATAATCATAGGGGAGCGCTAAACCCGTAGGATTATACAGCACATATGGGGGGAGGGGGTGGAAGGTATTCAGGCTCAATTCAGGGAACTGGTGCACAGATCCAATTCCCTAGACCAAAAGCCCCTCACCAGTATCAAGGAACCTCCTTCGAGGGGGGTAATGCAAATAAATTAAATCAGCGACAAGTTGCCAAAAAAATGTTCCACTATTATAGAGTCCATTATATAAATTTATCTATATTAATTTTATACTTGTCTTCAAGGGCAAATTTAGAAGTGCAATAATTTAAGTTAACTAATTTTCTGAAAAATTATCTACAGTACTGTACTTCATAATTTTTTTTATTCTGGCATGAGCAATAGTTTCAATTTTTTTGTTAAAATAAATAATTCAGGATCTTAATAAGCCTTGTATAGCTACTTCATACTCCATTATTATATTCAAAGGAAAATGCTAAAAATAGAGGGGTCTTACTGCATTTGGGTAATGGGAGGTAATCAGGTTTGATACAAGGAAGATTAAGGTAACTAATTTTTTGGATCAAGGGCCCCTTACAAGTACCAAGGCTAAACCCACAGGGGTCATATAGCACCTGGAGGATTAGGATGCAATCAGGATTGATCTAAAGGGATCAAGTCTAATTCCTTGGATCAAAATCCTCCCAGCAGCATCAAGAAACATATCTTGCGGTGAAAAATATGCAGCAGAGAAAGTTTTCAACAAAATACTGTATGCCTGTTAGGTAAATGGACACAGAAGCAACTAATGTGACATTTTACTGTGGCAACGTTTCACTCTCCAGGAGGTTTGTTAAGCCATTAATGGCTTGACAAAGTTCCTGGAGAGCGAAAGGTTTCACAATAAAATGTCACATTAGTTGCAGCTGTGTCCATTTACCTAATAGGAATTAGTCAACTTTTGTGGGTATAAGTAGGTTTATTTAGGTACAGGTACACATAAGTACAATTATCGTACATAGTAACACGTGTAAATTACCTAAGACAACCCCAAAAGTTTAGTGACTTACTTCCATTAAGGTTCTTGTAATATCTTATTATTTAAAGCCTAGCTGTAAGTTACAGTTGAAATCAGTCATGATTATAACCTTTTAAGTTAAAACAGCTAAATAACTCAACTGTGTGAAAATCAGTTACAATAAAAGGAGATACAATAATAATAAAGTAAACCGAGTTATTTATATAAACATTACAGAGACTCAGCTTACAATAATAAGTATATGAATGATAACTATACAAGAAATCACTCTCCTCCCTTTTGTAGCTTCATTCATTCATTAGGTACTTTTCTGTAGCTTCATTCAGTAGGTAACTTTCTGTATTCATTAAGTACCTTTCTGTAGCTTCATTCATTAGGCACCTTTCTGTAGCTTCATTTAGTAGGTACCTTTCCAGGAGCTTTGTCAAGTTCATGGAGAGCGAAACGTTGGCACAATAAAATGTCACATTAGTTGCACCTGTGTCCTTTTACTTCACATATTGTAGGTAATTCTACCAACTTTATTACATTTCTGTATTATTATTATTATTATAATCAAAAAGAAGCGCTAAGCCACAAGGACTATACAGTACATTTCTGTAGCTTCATTCATTTGGCACCTTTCTGTAGCTTCATTCAATAGGCACCTTTCTGTAGCTTCATTCATTAGGAATCTTTCTGTAGTTTAATTCATTAGGTATCTTTTTGTAGCTTCATTCATTAGGCACCTTTCCATAGTTTCATTCATTGGGTATCTTTCTGTAGCTTCATTCATTAGATACCTTTCCGTAGCTTCATTCATAAAATATTTTTCTGTAGCTTCATTTGTTAAATACCTTTCTGTAGCTTCATTCATCAGATACCTTTCTGTAGCTTCATTCATTAGGCACCTTTCCATAGTTTCATTCATTGGGTATCTTTCTGTAGCTTCATTCATTAGGTATCTTTCTGTAGCTTCATTCGTTAAATACCTTTCTGTAGCTTCATTCATTAGATACCTTTCTGTAGCTTCATTCATTGGGTATCTTTCTGCAACTTCATCCATTAGGTATCTGTCTGGAGCTTCATTCATTAGGTACCTTTAGTAACCTAAAGCACTTACGGACCCCAATGGAAACATGCTGCAACGCTTGGCTAGCTCCTGTTATTAAGCAGAATCCTTACCAAACGATTATTATTATTTATTATTATCCAATTAAGCGCTAAACCCCACATTGTAATCCTTACAGAGAAATAAACATTTTAATTTCCATCCAGCTTTGCCCTTATCAGATGAGGATTCAAACCTGGATGGTTGCTCACCAAACTACTACTTAAATCTCAGCTATCAGCAACATTGGGATGTTAAAACAGACTGGTGCTAATTCTGCTCACCAGGTCTAGAGTAGGAATTGGGGTCTGCTGGACTGAGACGAGACATAGTCATGTTTTGAAGGAGAAAACTGGTGGGAGTCGTGTCAGCGGCGGGTGCCTCACAGCACAAGGTAAACACGTCGCTTACACTCCGGCAGCCAGTCAGGTGCACCACCCACCAGTATATCTCTGTTTAGAATGAATCAAATTTTTATATGGGGTCTAATAATAATAATAATTGGTAAGTTTATTTAGGTACAGGCACACATAAATACAGTTACATAAATTATACATAGCAGCATATGTGTAGATTACTTAGGATAACTCATAAGCCGCTTGGTACCTGGAGTTTACCTGGAGAGAGTTCCGGGGGTCAACGCCCCCGCGGCCCGGTCTGTGACCAGGCCTCCTGGTGGATCAGAGCCTGATCAACCAGGCTGTTGCTGCTGGCTGCACGCAAACCAACGTACGAGCCACAGCCGGGCTGATCAGGAACTGACTTTAGGTGCTTGTCCAGTGCCAGCTTGAAGACTGCCAGGGGTCTGTTGGTAATCCCCCTTATGTGTGCTGGGAGGCAGTTGAACAGTCTTGGGCCCCTGACACTTATTGTATGGTCTCTTAACGTGCTAGTGACACCCCTGCTTTTCATTGGGGGGATGGTGCATCGTCTGCCAAGTCTTTTGCTTTCGTAGTGAGTGATTTTCGTGTGCAAGTTCAGTACTAGTCCCTCTAGGATTTTCCAGGTGTATATAATCATGTATCTCTCCCTCCTGCGTTTCAGGGAATACAGGTTTAGGAGCATTTCGGGCAAATTAGGTCAGTTTTGTCCCAGGATGCGACCCACACCAGTCCACTAATACCCAGGTATCCATTTTACTGATGAGTGAACATAGACAACCGGAAACACGCCCAATGTTTCTACGCTTGCCGGGAGTCGATCCCGGACACACAGCGTGTGAAGTGAGAGCTTTGCCTACCAGGCCACGAGACACCTGGTGCTTATTATTTTATTATATATAAGCTACATTTTTTATACTGCACAAAGAAATAAAATTTGTTTGCTTGTCTGTATTTCATGAAGTTCTAAACCCTTGTGGGTCATTCAGGCCGGTGATTGTTGGAGTTTTTCCCAGCCATTAACGGCTTGATAAAGTTCCTGGAAAGGGAAACGTTGCTACAATAAAATATCATATTAGTTGCATTTGTGTCCTTTTACCCAAAACATTTTTCTGCCATGTTAAAAACAACTTGATCACATATGCTATGTTAGAAACAAGTTGATCACAGACACTATGTGAAAACCAGCGTGATCACAAACGCTCCAGAAATACAAGGGCTACAGTGATGGCTGCGTGTGACGGTGTGTTATTCTAGAGAAAATATCTGCCTGGGGAATTTGTAAAGTCCAATTATTAATTGCCCTAGATGGAAAAACTGGGTTTAGAAGCAAGGTTATGGTTTAACAAAGAAGATATGTTTGCTAAGTTTTCGTGGCGGCCATCTTGGATTTGTGTACATTATTATTATTATAATCAAAAAGAAGCGCTAAGCCACAAGGGCTATAGGATTTGTGTACAGTCTGCAGAGTTCCCAGTGCTGCCATGGTCGAATTAGTGGTATCCTGCGCCAGGTACTCCAAATTCTACTGTGGTGGCGTTTATGGTATACTGTATAAGGCACTGCACAGGCTACCATGGCGGTATTCATGGTAACCTGTATAAGGTACTTCAAATTCTACCAATGGTGACTTTATGGTATCTTGTACCAGTCATTATAAAGTCTACTATGGTGGCACTCAGGGTATCTTGTATCAGGCATTCCAAATTCTACCATGGTGGCATTCATGGTATCCGATACCAAGCACTACAAAGGATCATAAAATTGCAAATAAATAAATAAATAAATAAATAAATAAAAGCAATGGGCAACCAAGAAATCCACGATCACAGAACAATCACAGTGGTTCCCTGACAATTACAACATAGCCGACTCAACGTTGCAGAGACACTGGTGTAAGACACTGAGCAAAGGTGCCACTCGTTAGGGACCCCAAACTGGTTAACCATGGACCACAGTAACTGCTGTAACTCGAACATTTAACGCAGCGTAGCTACGCAACTCAACACACTTGAGCAATGTACCGCACACCTCTCCGCTCACCTACCTAATTGCAAGTGCTTCATGTTATAGTTGAGCTTATTTGTATAACTGAGCTCATCGGTGACCTGGTGTCACGGGGCACCGTATGGTACCCCGTGGTGTAAATATTACGCAGGGAATAAGAAAGGAAAATATTAAAGAACATTAATATCTATTAGGTCATTCATTGTTCTTGATTAAGAAAGAATGTCCAGTGTGTGTTAACTAGTGAGCAACTCAATGGTTACTCCACTTTACTGCTACTAATTACCATCCATATCAGTACGTTCCAGGAAGCCGCCAGTCTCTGTGGTTTGTGGTTTGTAGCACACCAGCATTCCCCTGGCCTTGAGGGAGCTCCCACAGGACGAGAAAGGTAGAGCTCACTTCGTTTGTGTATATATATATATATATATACATATGAACCTCCTCACTGCAGAACATCAGTCTCTTCGACACTCGCAAACATGACACTCAAGGTTCGAGTTATACTATCATATATATGCGCAAATTTTCAGATACCTCAGTTTTCTCTCCGTGATACAGGAGTACAGTTTAAACAGCGCGTCTCAAAATGAACGAAGAGAAGTTGGAGCCTCCATCACTCCCTGCGCTAATAATCCACATGACTATAGCACAAGACATAGCGTATTGTTATGTCAGATATAAGTGTGTCTGGTGGCGTTACAGTAATGAACTGTTAGGTTATACAACTGAAAGGATGGTAAATTATATATAATCCAAGTTATATATTTGCAGATTGTTCTCTTCACTGGCCTCCTGGTGGCCGTGTTGGCTCTCCCGTCAGATCTGTCCGGCTCCTTCGTGTCCCAGGTCAGTTCCCCCACTGCACTACAGCATAGCTTTAGACTATACAGCAGTAACGAAAGCTTTAGACTATACAGCAGTAAAGGATTGTACTCACTGATGGAGTAGCAATTATATATTCAGAATGAAACCTCAGACTGAGATAACACGGCAAAACTTGCAACTACCGCGAAAAACTTAAGGATTTAATCGGATAAAAGTGATTTAAGCTCCAGTTCCTAATATCGTGAAACCTTCCTTCAGAGGCGACAATTTTTACTAACCATTAATACTTCAATACAGCGTCAATTTGCATTCCGCACAGATTTTAAGACAGTAAACACAAATTGCTATACCACCCTTGCACAATAACGTCGTAGATTCTAATATTTTGCAGTTACTGCTTCGAATCAGCATATTCCCAAGGATAATTTGCAAATTTGTTTTAAAAACCACATTGATAAGTATATCAGTAATAGTCTGGGTGCTAACCTATACCTACTGTGATGGATCACCAGACAACCATGAGAGAACTGTACCAGCACCTGAATGTAAGACCTAAGTTCAATTACATGTTGAAGAATGAGACACTTGTGCAACATTTAGAAATCTTTATTGGGGAAACGTTTCGCCAGCCAGTGGCTTCTTCAGTCCAATACAGAGGAGAACGGTGAAAGATGAGGAGCTTGAGGTAATCAGTTCCTCGGTCTGGAATCAGTGTGTTTAGTCCTTCAATGTTTAGATATGTTCAGTCTACCACTCTTGAGATTGATGGACTGACCACATCGACTCCAGACTGAGGGACTGATTGCCTCAAACTACTACTAATCTTCCGCCGTTCTTCTCTGCATTGGACTGTAGAAGTCACCGGCTTTCTAAACGTTTCCTCAGTAAAGATTCCCAAATGTCTCACTCCTCAACTTGCCAGTTTTCTAAACAATTACATCAGTTAAGAAGATCGAAGGATCCCAATGGAAATAAAAATTTTTTTAGGGGGGGGGGGACTATCGTGGAGTATTTACCCTCTTATATTAATAATTTCAAGAATTTTTTTCTTAATCGATTTACCATAAATATAACGAAGGTTGTTCCCGTCTTCAGGCTCCGGCGAACTATGAGTTCCAGTACGCTGTAATGGACGACCCCTCCGGTAACAACTTCGGCCAGCAGGAGCACCGTGACGGAGATTTCACTCAGGGCTCCTACCACGTGAGGCTTCCTGACGGCCGCCTCCTGAAGGTGTCCTACACTGTTTCTCGGGACTCTGGCTACGTGGCTCAAGTCACCTACGAGGGCGAAGCTCGTTATCCAGCAAGTTGAAGCTCTCCAGTACACCCAACAATGTGGATCATTCATTACAGCAGAAAAAACAACTCAGTGGCTACTGGAAGGTCGAAACCGGACCGAAACGTTGTCATAAGATTCTTCTATGTGCGGGTTGTTTATATATGTTAACCACCACTCATTATCACAACGAAATAATGAAGCCAGCCATTGGGGATTAAAATGTATTCTAAGAGTAAACTGTCTTCTAAGAGTATATGAGATATACCCCCTATATATATATATATATATATATATATATATATATATATCTTGGAAAGGTTATAATTTTAACCTTAATTTTTAAAGGGATGGACGGGTAAGCCAGCGGAAGGCCTCGGTCAGATGACCTCTCCGTGTCTTCTAAACTACCTCTTCTGATGCTGTTGAAAGTCTCTTGATTCAGGGAACTGGATTTACCACTTAAAAACTGATTATCTCACAGCTCTCTCCTTCCCCGAGTCCTGACTCCTATGGGTTTAGCGCTTCCCCGTAAATAAAATGTGCTTTAATGGTAACGATGAATAAGACACTTTACTGCCGCAACATTTCGCCTGCACAGCAGTATTCTTCAGTTGAGCACATTACGACACCTAGATTTTACACATGTGTAACACCCAGGTGTTACACATGTGTAACACCCAGGTGTTACACGTGTTCGAAAGATGGCTTAGAAAACATTTGGGTATCTTTATTCTGGAAATGTTCCGTCCGCCAGTGTCTTCTTCAGTCCAGTGAAGATTAGATTAGATTTTGAGAGAAAGGTGAAAGATGAGAAGTTCGAGGTAATCAGTCCCTCAGCCTGGGGTCTGTGTTCAGTCCAGTTAATAAGCAAAATGCAAGTCCCATATTCCAGAATTTGCTGCACTTTTATTAAAATTTATGGACTGAACACACCGAATCCAGGCTGAGGGACTGATTACCTCAAACTTCTCATCTTCCACCTTTCTCTTCACTGGACTGAAGAAACCACTGGCGGACGGAACGTTTCCAGAATAAAGATACCCAAATGTAGCACAAGTACCTCATTTTTCAACTTGTCAGTTTTCTAAGCCATTTATTCGAACACATGTGTAACACCTGGGTGTTACACATGTGTAAACCGGGGTCCGGTGTCGTAAAGTGCTCCTGAAAAAGACTGGTGTGCAG